ACACACACACACACACACACACACACACACACACACACACACACACATATATATATATATATTTTAAGAAGCTTGTAGAGTAGTAGGTTTCCATATGAACTCCCGAATGGCTCTTAGTGTTAGGTGCTGTCTTAGTTACTGTTCTGTTGCTGTGAAGAGATATCATGCTTAAGACAACTTAAGACAACACTTACAAAAGAAAGCATTTAATTGGAGGCTTGCTTATAGCTTTAGGTTAGTTCATGATCATCATCATGAGATTCAGACAGGCATGGTTCTGGAACTGAGAGATTTACATTTTGATCCATAGGCTGTAAGCAAAAAGAGAGACACTAGGCCTGGCATAGACTTTTGAAACTTCAAAGCTTACCCCAAGTGACACCTCCTCTTACAAGGCCAAACATACTCGAACAGGGCTACACCTCTTAATCCTTCCCAGACAGTTCAACTCCCTGATGACTAAGCACTCAAATATATTAGCCTGTGGAGGCCATTCTCAGTCAAACTACCACAGTTGTACCTCCCAGTATTCCCTCTCTTACCCAACTCTTGATTTGTCCTCCCCATTTAAATCTTCCAGTCAGGTTTCACCTGTCTCTCTTTAACTATGCATTCTAATTCCCTTTCCTTAGGAGATCCTACTCTCCTTACAGTTCCTTACTTTATACTCAACTTCTGTGGTATACGGATTGTAGTGTGCCTATCAAAGTCTTAGAAGTTGGAATGCACATATAAAAGCATATGTATGCTATATTTTGGGGGAGGCCTGGGTTACCTCACATGGGATATTTTTCTAGTTCTGTCCATTAACTTACAAATTTTATGATTTCATTCTTCTTACTAGCTGAATAATGTTCTGTTATGTAAATAAACCACATTTTCTTTATCCATTTTTCAGTTCATGGTCATCTAGATTGTTTCTAATTTATGGCTATTATCGATAGCGCAGCAATAAATATGAATGATCAAGTATCTCTGTGGTAGGATATAAAGTCCTTTGGGTATATGCCCAAGAGTGGTAAAGCTGGATCTTGAGGTAGATCTCTTCCCAACTTCCTGAGGAGCCACCTCACCCACTTTCATAGTGCTGTGTAACTTTGCACTCCCACCTTTCCCTACATCCTCACCAGCAGGAGATGTAATTTGTTTCACTAATCTGGGCCATTCTGACTAGTGAAATTTGTTTTGATTTACATTTCCTTGATGACTAATGATGTTGAATATTTCTTTAAGTATTTCTCAGTGATTTGTGTTTCATCTTTTGAACACTCTGTTTAGTTCTATACTCTCCTTTAAATTGGGTTGTTTTCTTCATGTCCAGTTTTTTGAGTTCTTTGTACATTTTAGATACTAACTTCCTGGTAGAGAGTGCTTATGCAGGTTAGTGGGTGGCATGAAGGAATAGAGTTGGGCTAAGAGAAAAGGCTGAATGGGGCTTTGGGAAGAACTGAGGAGATTTTGTCAGAAGTGGGGTACTCAAGAATTGGAGATGTGGTGGTAAAAGGGGATCCTGAAAGTAGGTTGCAGTGAGGCAGTAATCTAGAGAAACAAGAATGAAAGAGCTAGGGTGACTCCGGGTCTAAACCAAAAGTTGTATTCTCTAGTGAATAAAGGTCAAGTGGGAAGAGGGGCACTTGCAAGCAGGTAGTTACACGGCTGGGGGACAGATCATAAAGGAAGGTAGGACAAATGGTGTGAATCACCTCTCTGAATCACTGCCAGATGTGGCCACTGGGGTTCAAGGTAGAAAGAGTTCCTTGGTATTGGGGGCTGACACAAAGGAACGGGTATGGGCTAGACAGGAGGGCTGAGAGGGTCCACAGCAGGGGAAGCTGGGTACCACACAAGCTTTGTAGGAGGAAATGGAGGTAGGGTGGGAGGAGGAGTACCGAAAAGTATTTTGCTTCAAAGCTAGTAATGGGACTGGAGTGACTGTAAAGGGGACCAGGAGAAGAGTCGAAATTAACTATCTGGGTCCCAGCCAGGTGTGGCCACTGGAGGTCCCAGATCAGGAGTTTCTAGGTATTGTTGGCTGACACAGAGGGATAAGGAGGGAGGGATGAGAGCATCCAGCCAGTTTGCATGTAGAAACCTTATTTCTACATGTGCTTAGAGTCTGCATTCTATTGATTATTTTGTAGGGTAGAAAATAAAGTATTATATGATATTTACTTAAGCATTCATCTTGCCTATACATACTATAACTTCACATTAGTTAGTAATTACCTGCAGAGAGAAGACTGCAACGAAAGCCTGGTGTCTGTTCTGTCCCGTGGAGCATTCGGAAAAGCTTACATCTTGTTTGGGGAAATTTGAGAAGAATTTGAGTGACTTCCCAAACCCCTTTCTTTGAGTACTCATTTCTTGCTTTGAAGATGACTTTGTGTTTGTCACTGGCCTGCTTTTCAGATTTTTTAGTTGAGAGCTAAATACCAGCTATCCTTGCTTCTTAGTGTCTCTGTATTTTATGGCCTACAGACTTGTCCTTTCTCTGCTTCAGAGAGTATAACTGAAACATGCTCCAAGTTTTAATTTTTGTTAATTTGAGCCAGTATAAGAAGTTACATTTATGTGTTCTTCCGTGTTAGCATGGTTTCCTTTTTCTGTGATGTATTATTATTTTATTATCCTGTATTAATTGTACATAATAATGGGTTTTATTATGACACTTCATATGTGTAATAATATGGTTTGAGCATACAAAATCTCTCTCTCCTACTTCAGCTAACCCCCTTCATCTTCCCAACCAGCTTCATCTGGTTTGCATAACAGTTTTCACATACATGCTCATATTTACTGAATGATACTGATATTGAGAAATTAAAGGAGGAGACCACATTTAATTGGCAAATGGAAGTGCGTGATGCACACCAGCTCTGTGGAATATGTTAATTTCCTATTGGAAATATAACTTTTAGTCATTCCAGATTCTGCTGCATTGAGTACTTTTGTTTTATAAAATTTTAACTTCAAAAATGTTAACTTCAACAATGTATCATGTTATTTTAGTAATTTATAAATTATTTAAATATTGACATCAATTATATTTTAGAAGAGTATTTATTTGGCTTTCAATAAGGATTAAAATTACTTTCTTTTAGACCAAGCAAAACATTTTAATATAGAAATTGCTCACCTAAATGCCATTCTTGGTAAACAATTTAGTATGTACATACTGTTTTGTCATTTTCTTCTCTTTTTTCAGTTCAATGATGGGGAATTCTCTGATTCCTTATCTTCCAAATTAAATAAACATCAAAATGCCTTCAGTTCATCTCAGAAAACAGCAGAGTTTGGAGCATCATATGAAAGAATAAATAGGTAAGATTGCGGAAGAAAAGATACAGAGTGCTGAACTTTGAGTCACTTGTTTGGTTTTAAAAGGACACAAATATTTTTTATCTGAGGACATAAATAATACTCTATATTATAATGAAACAAATTCTTTAGTTAGTTTAATTTTGCCCTTTAGACACTCTCATACCATGCATACAAAAAGACTTCAGTGTGCCAGTTCCATACATGAATACTGTCTGGACATGTAAAATTCCTCTGCACTTTCGCTCATTGCAGCCCGCACCTTTCCCAGATTTTAATAATCACTATTCTGCTCTAAAGTATGATTTTATAGTATCTGCATGAGAAAGAATATTTGTCCCTGTTCTTCTTCTGTGTCTGTCATTTATGTAATGTTCTCTAGTTTTATCATTGGTATAACCAACAGGATTTCATTTTTTCTTGGGCTAAGTACTACTCTGTGAATCTATCCTACATTTTAAACCATTCATCTGTTGATGGACATACAGACTAATCCCATGTCTTAGCTATTGTGAACAGTGCTATAATATACATCGCTGGTGTGCCAGTTTCATAGGAGAGAGTGAGCTGCATCATTTGGTACATTTTAGCTTTTTGGGGGGTCTTTCATTGCTGTTCTTTATAATGACGATCTTATGTTTAATTTATGTGTCCACATAACATGTGTAAGAATTTATGTTCATCTCCTGATTTGCACTTGTTTATTTTTATTGTTGTTTATATTTTCTGTGTTAAGAAGTAGCCATTGTAACTGGCATAAAATGGAATCTCACTGTGGCTTCACTTTGCATTTCCCTGAAGACTAATCATGCTGATATTTGTTCCCATATGTTTTAGTTATATCTGTTTTAAAGAAATATCCATTTAAATTATTTGCCCATTTAGAAAGATTTTTTAAAAAGTATTTCAGCCAGTGTGTATGGGTGTTGTGCCTGCATGTATGTTGTGCCTACATGTGCGCCTGGTGCCTAAAGAGGCCAGAAGAGGACATTGGCTACCCTGGGACTAGAGTTATAAATAGTTGTGACCACCATGTAAGTGTGGGAATCAAGCACAGGGCCTCTGGGAGAGCCAGCAGTGGCTTAACTGCTGAGCCATCTCTCCAACCCAGGTTTTCTAATTTTAAATTTTGATTATTTGGCATTTGATGAGGGGTTCTGATAAATAATTGGAAAATATAGGTTGTCTTTCCACTCTCTTGATTGTTTAGTTTCTACAAACCACTTGCCAATATTTACTGCATTTCCTGTATTTTTGAGACAATATTCAGAAAACCATTGCCAATATTATGGAATATTCTAGTTCCATAATCTTCGCTCCATTGTGAGCTGATTTTTGTGGAAGGTGAAAAATAGTGGTAAAGTTTTAGTCTTTTGCTTGTCAACATTCAACTTCTCAAAAATGTTTTTTTGAAAATATTTCTCAGATTAGATGATGCTGCCTGACTGTTTTTCTTACAGTGGAAGAATCTTTATTCCATTAGCCTTTGACTATAGGAGAACACTTCTGTGATTTTTTTTTAATCCCCCTTTTCCTTATTGTATTATAGCTCTCTTACTGAGTCCTCTGTTATAATGCTGACAATCAATTGTAAAATGTGATTTCTATATATAGTGTGCTTTATAGCTTATGACATGTTCTATGGTGTTTCTCATATTTATAATGATAGAAAAAAATTCTGGCTTTAAGGATGTGTTAGTGCATTGCATTATGTCTTTTAGTATAAAACACTAATTAGATCACAGGGATCTATGAACATGGACAAAACCATGAATATTAATATTAATATGAAAATATTTTAATATAAAAATCTTTCTCTATCTCCATCACAGTACTTAGTCCCTAAAACATCATATTTCTATTTAAATATTTAATAAATAAGTTGAAAATAAAATTAGAAGTAAAAATTTTAGGGCTAAAGAAATGGGTCAACATTTAAGAGCACATACTGCTTTTACAGTGTGTTTGGTTCCTAACACCCACATTGGGCAGCTAAAAACCATCTTTACCTCCAGTTCCAAGGGATTTGACACTGGTTCTGCAGACACCTGCACTCAGCTGCATATACCGCCTCAATACATGCACATAAATATACATAATTAAAACAAAATGAATATTAAAAATTTCTTGTTTCCAGTCTTGTGTTTCTTCCAAAAAATTCTTTGTACAGAAATTGACCAATTTCAAGTGAGTTTATAGTCACTGGCAATAAAATAAAAGGTTTTTTTGGTTAATATTTCCTGTAGCTTTGATTCTTATGCACAAGTTAGACTTAAACCATAGCTGCTATTTTTGCTCAGGAAAAGAACATATAGGCTATTCAGTTCACCTAATTAGTTTTCATCTTGGTTACCTTCTCTTTTAAATAAATATTTACATCTTAATTTTTCTTCATTGAGAATTATTTCAGTTTATAAATTAAAATATATCTTTGGTAATGTTGTTATAACTCTTTACAACTGTTTTTATGTAGAGCTTTTCTCCTGCAGTCTTCAGAACCTCTTTCTCTGACTAACTGGCGTACAGTGCTACACTAAGTCATTTGTAGAAGAAAGACCATTGGGTGCCGTATTCTGTTTGTTAATATAACAATAAATAAAACTATTTACTAAATTTCAGGTTGGAATTAGAACCTGTATAAGTTATTTTCATGCCTATTATTAGAATATATTAGCTACATTTCCATCCAAATCAATATTATTTGCTTAAATATTAAAATTAAAATGCAATTTGGTAAAATACTAGTCATTATCCAATATGTTCTCCAAAGTTTTAAATTTAAGTAAGTATTTGTAAATGAAATTGATCAAGAGTTACACCTAAATATGTTTTTATTTATTCCAAAGTCCAGAAACTGGTGATTTTCTTATTAAAAATCCTATAGTTACGGATGAAGGTCATGGAAGCCTGTATGAAAGAAGACAGCCAGACTTTGCTATGGAAAAAACATCAGTGCAACAGATTTGGGAAAATAATGGAAAAGAATTATCCAGTTTTCTTGATGAAGTGATCCACCCAACTCAGAGACATCTGCCAGACAATCACAACTCTTTTGGTAGTCACAATATGATCAATTTATTGAGCACAGATCAGCCAGGAAGAAGAGCAGCCTTTAACAGCTGTGGCTGCGATAGCTTGAGTTATACCCATGCCGATGAAAGCTTTTCTTCTGGTGGGTTTATTAAAGAGACAGTGCCACACTCAACTTTTCAGAATCTTCCTTTCAATACAAGTTACATAGAAACATGGCAGCCAAACAAGCCCTACCAGGAGTACAATGATGAAATGAATGAATTTAGATCTTTTGAGAAAGATTGTTACACAGCCAGCTGTGGAAGAAAAGGTCGGTGTTGCTTATTCAGTTTTTCTCTATATAAATATATACTACCGTGTTTCATCTGTTTATACACATATACATATAATTGGCTCTTCTCCATATCCAAATGTACCGTATCTTCAGCTTCATGGACTAAAATTATAAAATATGTATTTGCTGAACATGTACAGACTTTTTTTCTTACTATTATTTCCTAACCAGTAGATAATATATGCTATTTAATAAGATTTTTGGAGTTAGCCAAATGGCTTGTTGCTGTCCTGAGTTGAAGCCTGGAACCCAGGGTAGAAGGAGAAAACCAGTTCCTGAATGTTGACCTCTGACCTCCACCCATATGCAGCATATGTTTAACACACACACACACACACACACACACACACACACACACACACACACA